GTGGCTCACACCTGTAATCCCAGCACTTTGGGAGACCGAGGTGGGTGGATGATTTGAGGTCAGGAGATCAAGACCAGCCTAGTCAACATGGTGAAACACTGTCTGTACTAAAAATACAAAAATTAGCTGGGCGTGGTGGCAGGCGCCTGTAATCCCAGCTAGTCGAGAGGGTGAGGTAGGAGGACTGCTTGAACCCGGGAGATGGAGGTTGCGGTGAGCCGAGATCACGCCACTACTTCAGCCTGGGCGACAGAGCTAGACTCTGTCTCAAAAAAAAAAAAGAATCAATCAGTGCAGAACAGACGACTTTAGCGTGATATCCAGGAAAGAAGCTCAAAAGAGCAGTGAAGAAAGTAGGTTCTTAACTGACAGCTCCCAGCTGTTAACTTTTTATATGGGGAAGAAGAAAGGGTAGCAGATGGGCAGCAGTCCCAGCCACTGTGCCGTGATGCAGCGGCACAGGAAATCTGGCTTGGTGTTTCCTCCTCAGCCTCTTTCTTTCCTTCCTCTGCCATCAGACTGTGAACCAGCTGGCTCATGCCCTCCATCAGGACAAGCAGCTCCATGCCGGCAGCCTAGTGAGTGTGATGTGGCCCAACTCTAAGTGCCCACTTCTGAAGGATGACCTCGTTTTGATGGACAGGTAAGAGGGAGGTACCCTCCTAGGAGGTCCAAACCGGGAGGTGCCAGGTTTCCATTTCTGAGTAATCCGGGCCAGAGTCTCTGGGCCCCCATCTGTGCTCTGCTTAAGTACTACTGCCTTTCAGATGGGCTCAACCAAATCCTCTGGCCTCTTGGCTTTCCTCTAGAGTCTGGTACCTATACCTGTTTACCAGTACCAGATGTCCCAGGGATGGTCTGTAAGAGATAGGAGGGATGCTCAAAAGTTGGGGAGGTTCTCAGCCTCAGCCCAGTGCCATTACGTGTACTGGGGGTGGGGAGTTGTGGCGAAGTCAGAGGTGTATTTTATCTCCCTTGAAGAAACACTTTGCCCTGGCTTGGTGGACAGGTTATAACTATACCAAGAAGTACAGTATTGTAGCATTTACCTAGACTCACATCAAGTCACACCTTCACCTTAATCGTATATTGTATATTGTATATCTTTTTTTTTTTTTTTTTTTT